ATCATAGAATATCCTTCTTTTATTCAGAATATTTCCATTCAAGGAGTTTCTAGTGACCTGCTTTCCTTCTCTATCTAGCTTCATTTCTGTAGGATGTATATACCTATTATTTAACACATTTCTTTTTAAGTTTTCAAAACATGACTTCAACATGGAAAGGGATAAAGTACAAATGAATTATTAATAAAAGAAGGAGCAGACACATTGGTAGTGTTTAATCTGGAAGCGCTTAATTGAAAGTTCTCTTATCAGCCTAATAATAGAGACTAATAATGGCCTTAATTTAACAGAGACAGAGACACTATCTATATTTCTTAATGGAAAGACCAGAAGCAGGAGTCAAATATCTTAACCTGGTGTTACATAAATGTAATGGTGTTACATAAATGGTGTTACATAAATATGTGTAATGGAGCAATCTCAGAAAATTCGTAAGGTTGAAAGAAGAAAATATAATAGTTGTAAATACTATGTAGCCTTTTTATTTAGTTCCTTCTCTGAATTAGGATCCTATTGTATGTTTAACTTGAGAATTTTACATCTTGATTTTCAAACATAACATGATATAATGAGTATTTTCAAGTCCTTAAAACATTTTGAAAATCCACCCCATGTAAAGATATATTCTAATTTATATAGACATTTAAATTCAGACCTTTTTTTGCTATTACAAATAAACCTGTGCTAAGTATCTCTTCAAAAAATCTTCACATACCTTTCTGCAGGCAGGATTCTTACAAATAACATAAGGCTTTGGAAATACACTGAAACACTACCTACAGAAATTGTTTAACAAAGTGTATTCCCTCAAATACTATATGCAACTATATGCTTTCACTGCACCCCTATAAAACTGCACATTCACTTTTAAAAAGCATTAAATATGTGATAGGCAAAAAATTACACACACACACACACAAAACCACTTAATTGCTTATTTTGCTTTTTTTTTTGGGGGTTGTTGCTTTTCAGTTCTTTGTTGTTTTGCTTTTTTTTTTGGGAGGATTCTTTCTTTCTTTTCCCTCGTTTCCTACTGAGATGTTATTTCAGCCACATACTTTTTGACCTCTGTGACTTCAGGATATTAATTCTTTACCGTATTTGCTATTCAATTTCTTCATAGTTTGTCTTTTGATTTTGTTTCTCATTTATGACATTCAGATCAAAAAACAATGATGTGTCAAAGCTATTTTTTCCCTTCCATTGCTTTTTTTTTTGGGGGGGGGAGGGCTCACAAGTTCCTTTCCATTGCTAATATAAATAAATACATGATTTTACTTCTTGCTTTCCTTATTTATTTATTTATTACAATAACTTTTAAATTAATTGAGAACAACTTTTGGAGGGTACAAATAAAGGTAAAAATACACTATTGATTTTGTTTACCTGATAGTCAACCATTTATTGAACCATCAGGGCCTCATTTTTCCTCTGATTCATGAACCCATCGTGTTCTCTACTTAGCCCCACTGTCTACCAGGGTCTGTTTTCACTAATTAGCCTGTGGATGATCTGTGACTTTAAAATATATCTTAACTTCAGAAAAATCAATTTTCATCGTTTACTTATTTATTGTTCTTTTAAATCTCTCTTTCAAGTAATTATCAGGGCCTTGGTATTCTTTTAAAATTTTCATTTTAATGTGCTTTATAATTTCTAATTATTAATACTAAAAATGTTTCTTAAAAAAGTTTTTAAGATACATAAAACAATAATAAAATTACAAAGGGGAAAAAAATGATCCCCTACCCCTTCACCTCACCTTTTGCTGAGATTAACACTGTCTTATTCTTGAGTATGCACTTTCACGTGCTTTATCATGAGTGGTTTGATAGTTTTGTTACTATTCTTCCTTGACAAGGAAACAGAAATATGTCAGATCATGGTCCATTTTCATGACATAGAAAAATATTTGATGCAGTTTATCATAGGATTACAGTTAAAAAAAAATCAAGAAAATATAATCTTAATTTATTCCAGATTTGGATGCCCAATCTTTTGAGACATGTAAAAAATAAGCTATTTAATGAACTAGATTCATATACCAGCCTTTCTTTATAGTGCTGCTCCAATCTACCAAATGGTGTCTTATTTCACTTGAAACAAAATCCAGTAACTAATATGTCATAAAGATACCCCAGGTAGCATGCCAGTCACTCTGAAGTACTGTGCTTTTTTTTCATTATTTCCTAACAATGAAGTATTTCACTTATTCCAAACACATTACCAAGTGCTGTACCATTTAATTCTTAAATTCATTTCTGTATGTATTTATTCAACAGTATCTTGGTGGTAGGAGGTACTCAATATACATTTGTTGAATGGGAAAAGAATGAATGTAACATACTACTTAAATAGAGTGCTGTACAAAATGGCACATTATTAATAACTACATTGGAATTTTTAGAAGTGGCTGATGCAGGAACAAATGTAAGCCTTTTATTCACAGCAAAGCCTGGGAGATGAATAGCCAGCACATGTGATGTGTGATTTATTCATACACACTAGTAGGAAATTTATAGGCATCTATTAACCTACTCGAGTTCCAATTTTGTCTTAGGCTGGTCTTTTGTCATGATTAGCTATGTTGTGAGTCTATGTTAAATAACAGGCTGTCTGTACTGAAATATGTAAGAAATATGAAGACAGAAATCCAAGCTATTATATATGAACATCATCCCAGTTAAACCATATGTTATACATATATATATATGCATGTATATATATGTGTATATATATATATGTCTGCTCATATGTGTTTAAAAAATTGGACATGTACGTACATATGCAAAAAAGCAAAGGATTTTTTTCTGGACTTTAGTCTCAGACTGAAGTACAGACTGAATTGTGTCTCAAGAAACATACCCTATGTTGAAGTATTAATGTCTAGTACCTCAGAATATGACCAAATTTGGAGAAAGTTCTTTACATAGTAATTTTGTTAAAGTAAGGTCATTAGGGTGTGTTCTGATCCACTATGAATGGTGTTCTTGCAAGAAGAAATTTGGACACAGACATCCACAGAGGAAACATGAAGAAACAGAGAAACACATCTCCTTGGCCATCTACAAGCCAAGAGGGGCCTCAGGAGGTTCCCGTCTTGATGACTCCTTGGTCTTACTAGCCTTCTGACCTGCAGAACTGTGAGGTCCTAAATTTCTATTGGTTAGCCAATCAAACTCTAGTACTTTGTCACAGCAGCCTTAGAAAATCAATACATCCATGAACTAAAAAGACCACATGTCTTTCTCAACACCACACGTTGAAAAACAAAACAAATTATTTTGTTTGTTTTGATATTCCAAGTTTTGGAAAAGATGACTCTTCTCAGCCTGCATTGGAGTGGGGCCTGGTCTGTTTCTTCTTTGGGTTAAAACACCATCCAAGAAAGTCACTGCTTTAGCCGATACTTCTGATTGATCCTTTCTTCGGTCGATTAGGAATTCAAACTTTATTCAACACGTTGCTGCTCACCGCCACATGATGATGCCATTAGATCAGCTAAGCTGCCTTTAACACGTGGTTGGTCTAAAAGAGCTTGGATGCACATCATGCTTTGAAGGGGTAGCTCATTCCTGGACTTTCCCTTGAGGTCTTAAAGTCACCTGTGTGCCTGTCCCTGTGCCCTTGCAAACATAATGAACACAAGGACAGCAGCAAGTGTGAGGAGGAACAACCTCCACTTCCCTTTCTCCCCAACCCAGATTTGCAGAGGAAAGGAATAGGGTTCAAGTTTTGTTAACGGGGGGTAAATGTAACGATACTGCTAAAGTCACACGAACGCCACATGTCAAAGGTGAAGAAAGGTCGCGTTTGTGTTTGCCCTGACACAGAACACATGGTACCTTTTACAGAGACCTACTGCCATCATTTTTCAGTTCTTCCCAGCCTGCGCCGTTGCCCACTGTGGCAACACATCCCCCCATGGACGGAAGCTGGCTCTTGGAGCCAGGAAGGATTTGCTGTCATGTTCTAAGTTCATAACTATAAGATGCATTTCTCTGCATCATCTTAATAAAACAACATAGAAATAAAGTTTTATAATAGCAGTAGAGAGAAAAAAGTCATAATTTTCCATGCTTCACGATTCAGAATAATTAATTTAATAACTGTGTCATGTGAGAAGAGTAAATAAAGAGAAGGAAAGGGATGTGGATATATATGATCACTGAAGCATATACAATTGCAAGGAAAAACAAATTACCATGGTAGTGCTGGAAATAAAAGCTTGATGGGAAATATTTTTTGGATGCTAATTTGATTCTTCTATTGAGTTTTAAAGCTGCAGTGTCTACAAGCACACTATTTATCTCCAATTGTATTTCTTTTTAGCAGTTATATAAACGTATGCCTCTAAAAATCAATTAAACACCTCTCTGATCTCTACTGGGAATTTTCTCCAAGTAGTTCTCTACCTAGACTACAACAGGGCTAGGATTTCATTTACAACACCTTTCCGGAGAGTGTTTCATCATCAGAGGTGTTAAAGAAAAGTATCGAAATTAATAAAGGAAGACAGAATCAAAATAAAATGCAGTTTTCTCTGGACACAGTTACAATCTCTTGGGTTTGGTTCACAATAACACTGAGACTCTAGATCATCTATGAGCAGCTTGCTTCTACTGCCCGTCTGCAGGTTCTCAAGAACGGATTATTTCTAAGTGCCAGTACAGGTGCCTAAGTCCCATGCCATAAATACAGGGTTCTAAAGATTGTAAGTAATTAGTTCCATTAAATTAACAGCTATAAAAATAAATCTTCCTTTACTTGGTCTGATAGAACTTAAACCTCATCTGTTTTATTTCCGTGTTACCGTCCTCAAATGTTAAAGAGATACCAGCCTTGCCCCTTTGCATGTTAAGACTCTGGATTCTGCTAGGACGACGGGCGGGAGAGCAGGTGGCGCGTCCCCAAGGTGGCCCGTCCCCAAGGTGGCCGCAGCCCTCCACGGTCCCCGAGCTGCCAGGCTTGCCCGGCCCGCGGGTGGCTCAGTGGCTTACCGACAGTGCTTGTGGGATCCGGTCAGGGTTTCGATCACGAAGCACTCGCCATCGTTGAGACAGTATGCAAGGTCCTTGTCTCGGCAGGGTTTGAAGTGCTCGGACCGTTCCGTGGAATATGTCGTCGTATCTGTGAGGGAAAGCACAAGAGGGAAACGCTGTCAGCGGTGCGTTCTGACACCAGCCACTGCTGTCACCACCCCGATCCGTGCATCCAGGCCTGCTCACGGGCTCTGACCTCGGGGACTCCAGCCAGGACCCGTCCCGAATGGTACAGGCCAAAGGCATCTGGTTAAAACCCTTTGAGTTCAGGTGTCTTATTTCCCCAGCAGATTTTAACAACTGGAGTCACTCTAGACAAGTGCTGTTTAAGGACACATGAACAGTAAACGCTGCATGATCCTGAGTCAAACACCCCAAATCTGCTGTCATTAATTTCACTTTTAAAAAACATGTCTGAAGGATTGGAACAACATTCCCTTCCCTTTATTGTTGCCAAATGACACCAAACATCTGATCCATGTATATTGTGACTGTTCCGTGGAAACCGTGTCAGTTTGGCTTTTTCTTTTTTGTAGTTGCAGCTATAATTGGCTAATAGTTAAGCCAATTATTCTTTCACTTTCTCCTTTTTAGTATGTAATTAAAATGCAAATGCTCCAAATTCTGAAACAGATTTTCAAATGTGAGGAATGAATGTTCCTGGTAAATATTTAACAGGACAAATTATCGTCATTTTTTTGGCATTATCTTAAACATGTATTTTTAAAATCATAATTAACTTGGATCTTTAAATGAAGCCATACATGCATATCTGCTTCGCAAATATGAAACTAACCATAAATATGTGCTATCTACAGGAAACAGACTCTGTCACCACACATAGACATCGTCCTAGTGGCAGAGTTTCAGGCAACTAAAGTATTAGCACCAATTATACTACCCCATTCAAGAAAAAAAATATATTTAAAAATTGAAAGATTAAAAAAATTATTCAACATTTATGCTCTTTTAATTTCCTTTTCATATATCTAGATTAATAATAGTGTTCAACTGCATGGCATCTCATACCAGCTTACTAATTAACTGCTGTAGTTTGAATGTGTCCCCCAAATTTCATGTGTTGGAAACTCAATCTTCAGATTCATATGCGGATGGTATTTGAAACTGGGGCCTCAGGGAGGCAATTAGGGTTACTTAAGGTCATCAAGGTCATGGGACTGTTTACTGTTTAAGAAGAGGAAGAGGTACCTGAGCTGACATACACTTGCCCCCTTGCCATGTGATGCCCTACAGTAACTTTGCAAAGAGTCCCCACCATCAATAAGGCCCTCAGCATATGCAGCCCCTCAACCATGGACTCCTCAGCCTGCAGGATTCTAAGAAACATTTTTTAAAAATAAATCACTCAAACTCAGGATTCAGTTAAAGCAACAGAAAATGAACTAAGACAGTAACTGTAGGTCACAATGAGCTTCTTTCCTGCTCATCATCCCAACTGATAGAAGAATGACCACACTAAAAGGAAACTCACTCATGTCTCTCCCACATCTAAAATTCCTCAATGGGCTCTGCTATGGGAATAACTTCCACATCCTTAGTTGGGCCTACAAGAGCATGTGGCATCTGTGCTTTTGCCTGTCTAATCTCTTCTTCTTGTAGCCTAAAACGTTACACAACTTAATTTTCAACTAATAATCTACTTCTCCTCAAATCCAAGTGCTGTCATGTCACTCCTTTTCAGACTACCCTTCTCCTACACCCTTTTCTTTGCTGGATGGCACTAGTGGTCCTCCAGAACTTCGATGATCTTCCTCTTGGGCCCCTATTGTGCCTCTATCACTCACATCACTGCACTCAGCACTGCAAGTACTCCTTTCTTCACAGTATTATCTGTGCCTTTAGTTTGTGAGTTCCTTGAAGGCAGGGGTTGGGTTTCAATGAAAATTGGTGCTCATAAAACTAACTCTGATAAACCTGATCTCTCTGACATCACCAACAGTTCCAATGCTATGGATGAAAGAAGTAATTATTAAAGACCTCATCACAATCTTAAAGAAGTTAATGTAACTCTTATAGCAAAAAGTTAAATATAATTTCACATCGGTGCTACAATTTTAAGATACTTGTTTTGAGATTTACAGAGACCCTCACTCATATATTACTCATACACTGTCAGCATTTAAAAATAATACTTTTGGTGTCCTTTTTCTTGGTATTACAATGTAAACTTATGTTTTTACATTTCAAAGTATCTGCCTGTTAATTGTTTGGCATAAAATAAAGGCTCCGCAAAACAGACACATTTTCTGTTTTCCAGAAGATCTTCTCTACAGTGAAGATCTGATATTCAAGACAGTATGTGATAAACAGTCTCACAGAAGCAATCTCTCTTTCTATGGGAAATATTTAAAATTCAAGAGCTCTTAGCAAAAAATTCAATATGAAACACTGCACAGTTGACTGCTACTCTGACTGTGGAAGTGTATTAATTCATGATCAGTTAGTTAGCTTTGCCTTTAATTTGTTATTATCCATTTATTGATATTCACTGATCATTCTTCTAAGAACAGCTTTTCACTAACATAGCCTACATCGTAAAAAGTGAGATCCTTATTTTATCATCAGCGGTTTTAACAAGCTACAGACTTCAAGTGCAATACAATGGCAAAGCAATTACAATCAATTAATTTCCATCCGACAACTGCTGTCTCTAGTGCTTACCGCCCCATTCTACCAACTGATTTCCCCCTTTTGTTATCATCTATGAACACATTACAGAGGATCAGAGACCCAAGTAAATGGCTCTTCAAAAGTCTGGGGTGGGAGAGCTCAGAGATATCAGGCTTAACATGTACTCAGGCTTCCTATTACCACAGCTTAGAGAATCCCAAAATTAATTTAAAAGATATATACATATCCCTCACAATGACTTGACTGGATTCAGAGAAAACATTATTATTCAATCTTTTAAATAACAATATAATAAATGGTAATAGAATATTGTTTTTGAACATGATATAAGTAAATAAACTATTAATACAATTATCTATAAATTTGAAATCTCATAATTTATCTATGCATTTGACTGTATAGTCTCCATATAATACTACTCACCTAAATTCACAGAGGTATTGGGCAAGGTTAAGTTAAATTCATCATGAAGTGAAACTTTACTCTTGAAAGTCATCATGCCAAGATGTGGATGGAAAGATAGAAAAATTCCAGATCCTTAATGAAATCACTAGGTTACTATACTAACTCTAAGTCTCTCTCTTTTTTTTTTTTAAGGAAAAGTCTAGGTAACCCTACCTAGACTTTTCCTAAATAAATAATGAGCACAATGTGTCTAAGCCACTGTTCTATTACTCACAACCAAACGTAGCCTAACAAAGAAATAGTAATAATTTTGAAAGACACTCTCTAATATTTGTGTGTCTGCTTACAAATGCATGTATGTATACATACCTACATATGTGTTTAATTTTTAACATATAAGATATATTACAAAACATATAAAATAGAACATAAGTAAAAAACAAGTATCAAATGTAAGGTGAAATTCTGTATTTTCTTTCTGTGCCCTAAGGTGATACAGCATGGTTTAATGTATCCAGCAGACTATTCCGTTCTAAAGGGAAAACATGGGGCATTTGTGAGAATGAGATATCATGAATAAGATTTAATGTCAAACTATACAATTTACAGCCCTAACAACCTTGGTTTCATTTTGAAAAGTATTATCATAAATGAAAACCTCTATTAAAACAAAAAACCTGGGAAATAAATAAATGTTTAGAAGTTAGGACATGAGAAGAGCTCCAAAACAATTTAGGTGAAGGGTGTAGAATTTTATAAGTGAAGGTAAAAATCAACTCCATAGCACAGAGGGGTAAGGGAGGAGAAAATAACACACAACAAAAAATGGGAAAGGACTTTCTAAAAGAGAGGGGTATGAATGGTAAAGAAATGTTAGCCTTAAGATGAACAGAAATGGTGCCAAAGGCCATCAAGCACGGTGACAAAGGTCAAGGGCTCAGCTTGAGAAACTACTGCTCCTGACCTGAGGAAGAGTGTCCCACCACTTGGGACCAGGCGGGCTGTGCAATTACACAGACCACTCATCTGGTACTTGTTACACGTAGGTTAATGTGTTTTCTTTTTTCTTTCTTTCTTTTTTTAATGGTTTTTGGTCTCTATCCCCAGGGAGGTCAGGGAGAGTGCTTTGCTTTTAAGTTTTGTATTCTTTTCACATCATGTAGCATACATAGTAAGTAATCAGTACAGTAATTAAACTCACAGTGAGAGGTGGTGGTGGTTAATTCATTAAAGGCAAAATGGGAAGAAAATGTAAGGCTGGAAGACAGAAATCCCTGCAGATTTTGCAATGAAAGTTAATTTATTAATGAATTAAAACGATGACTGTTTTTCCCCTTAAGTACTGAGTCGAACCTGAATATTACTTACGGAGGTTTCTATGCCGTCAGCACAATGCTGCACACTGTGGGAACACATATTTTGTTGCAGGAACAAGAGTGCTAAATTGGCTATTACAGATAATAATTGCAGTAGATATTCAAAGAAAGGGAGACCTTAATTCAGGCTATAGTTATCTCTGAAGGTTTCCCAAAGTGTTGGCATTGGAGCCAGGTGTTGAATATGTATGACTTAATTGACACCAGGAAAGGAATTCTGGATGGGAGGAACATCACCTAAGGAAGGAAAACGATGAGGCACAATGTCGACCTAAATAAATTCTTCACAGTCCCAGCTTGCAAATGTCAGATTCCTTAAGCAGTAAGCAGTTGTGTTTTTTTTCTTTCCCCAGTGAGTTTATGACATGAAGATTCCATAAGAAAAGTTAAGAGTCTGAGGATGCAATCTAAAAGCATTTACAATTAGCAAAATGCCTTTGAAGGCCAGAAGCCATTTAAATATGGTTGTAGATCCTGGCAGGCTCTCCAGTGGGAAAAGTGTAAATGAAACCTGCTGCCATATATTAAAATCTCCTGTTGAATCTGCCACTTATCAGACACCCAGGAAGGAGCACTGGCATGAGACTGAGTCATAAAATATTTAATAGTAAAAGAAAATTGCAAGAAGAATGCAGTGATGTTTGAAACGGAAACA